TGGTGTTGGTCCACTGTGCTTCATTAAGTCCAGGGTCAACGCAGCCGTCTACCAGGAGATTTTGGAGCTCTTCATGCTTCCTTCCGCAGACAAGCTTAATGGGGATGCTGACTTCCTTTTCCAGCAGGACTTGGCACCCGCCCACACTGCCAAAAGCACCAAAACCTGGTTCAATGACTGTGGGATTACTGTGCTTGATTGGCCAGCAAACTCGCCTGACCTGAACCCCATAGAGAATCTATGGGGCATTGCCAAGAGAAAGATGAGAGACATGAGACCGAACAATGCAGAAGAGCTGAAGGCCGCTATTGAAGCATCCTGGTCTTCCATAACACCTCAGCAGTGCCACAGGCTGATAGCTTCCATGCCACGCCGCATTAAGGCAATAATTGCTGCAAAAGGGGCCCAAACCAAGTACTGAGTACATATGCATGCTTGTACTTTTCAGAGGTCCGATATTGTTCTATGTACAATCCTTGTTTTATTGATTGCATGTAATATTCTAATTTTCTGAGATTGTGGATTTGGGGTTTTCATGAGCTGTAAGCCATAATCATCACAGTTATGACAAATCACAGCCTGCACTATCTTGCTTTGCATGTAATGAGTCTATCTCATATATTAGTTTCACCTTTTAAGTTGCATTACTGAAATAAATAACTTTTGCACGATGTTCTAATTTTTCGAGTTTCACCTGTATATAAAGAGAGATAGATAGATAGATAGATAGATAGATAGATAGGATAGCAGCAAATATCTCTCCCTGTCAGCAGTTTCTATCAACTCCTATTCTCTCTCCACAAACACTGACAAAAGGCTGCTGAGAACCTTGACTTGTATAGGACCGTCTAATCTATCTGACTACAGTTCAAATGCAAGGAATTTCAAGGTTGGGAAATGGTTACCATACCAGAAAATGACCACATTAGCTTGCCATTTTCCTGAACTGCAAATGACTTGAGTTCAGGTCAAACTCATTATCAACATGAACCCAAAGCTCATGCCTATTGATCACAATCCTCACAACCATCGTAAATGTAAAAGAGTAGCACTAGCTATGACAGACAAGATAGTAATCTGTTGCGTGAAAGCAAGAATGTTTCAGCTATCTGATATGTGCACATATAAAAGTATAAATAAATAAATCCTGAAGTAAGTGAAAATCAAATATACAAACCAAAGAAAATGCCAAATAAACTGAGGATTATAGGCTCAATTGAAATCACTAAGCAATCAGGCAAAGAAATAATTTGAAGTTGCAATCTAATTTTTTTACTTGTTGAACTGAAGATGGCACTGGATGAGAAAACTAGGAATTTTAACAAATGTTAGAATGCTGTAACATATAAGTCATAAAAAGAAGTCAAAAGCACAAAATATGGTGACTTGGTGGATAGTGTTTTAAATATGCCCAATGTTGTATTACAGCAGTAGAAGGAATAGGCATCAATGAAAGGTTGACATGATCCCGGAAAATCCCATCATGGCCAGCATACTAAAATGTAAACATTCATTACCATTGGAAGACTTTTCAGCAAAATGTAATGTTTCTTTACCTTTGGGTGCTTTGAACTTTGACCTCATGCTTGTTCCCAGGCTCTGTCTAGTTCTTGGGCATTAGCAAGTAAAATGTTTTGCTGTAATAAGTGTTGAATTTTTCCTCCCAAAACAATGAAACACAACTTTCAAAATCAGTTTGCATGAAACAAAAGGCTAACTCTGTCCAGATGTTAAGCATTACATATGAATTAAAAAAAATAAATAAAATGTATATATATATATATATATATATATATATACACACATACACTAACACACTATATTGCCAAAAGTATTGGGACCCCCCTTCAAATCATTGCATTCAGGTGTTTCAGTCACCTCCATGGCCGCAGGTGTATAAAAGCAAGCACCTAGGCATGCAGGCTGCTTCTACAAACGTTTGTGAAAGAATGGGTCGCTCTCAGGAGCTCAGTGAATTCAAGCTTGGTGCCGTGATAGGCTGCCACTTTGCAATAAGTCTATCTGTGAAATTTCCTTGCTACTAAATATTCAACGGTCAACTCTTCATGGGATTATAACAAAGTGGAAGCAATTGGGAACAATATCAACTCAGCCATGAAGTGGTAGGCCACGTAAAATGACAGAACGGGGTCAGTGCATGCTGAAGCGCATAGTGCACAGAAGTCACCAACTGTCTGCAGAGTCAATAGCTAAAGACCCCCAAACTTCATGTAGCCTTCAGATTAGCACAACAACAGTGCGTAGAGAGCTTCAAGGAATGGGTTTCTATGGCTGAGCAGCTGCATTCAAGCCTTACATCATCAAGTGCAGTGCAAAGCATCGGATGCATTGGTGTAAAGCACACCGCCACTGGACTGTAGAGCAGTGGATACTTGTGAAGTGGTGAATCATGCTTCTCTGTCTGGCAATCCAATGGATGTGTCTGGGTTTGGTGGTTGCCAGTATAACACTACTTGCCTGACTGCATTGTGCCAAGTGTAAAGTTTGGTGGAGGGGGGATTGTGGTGTGGGGTTGTTTTTCAGGGGTTGGGTTTGGCCCCTTAGTTCCAGTGAAGGGAACTCTTAAGGTGTCAACATACCAAGATATTTTGGACAATTTCATGCTCCCAGCTTTGTGGGAACAATTTGGGGATGGCCGCTTCCTGTTCCAACATGACTGCACACCAGTGCACAAAGCAAGATCCATAAAGACATGGATGAGCAAGTTTGGAGTGGAGGAACATAACTGGCCTGCACAGAGTCCTGACCTCAGCCTGATAGAACACCTTTGGGATGAATTAGAGCAAAGACTGTGAGCCAGGCCTTCTCGCCCAACATCAATGCCTGACCTTACAAATGCACTTCTGGAAAAATGTTCAAACATTCCCATAGACACACTCCTAAACCTTGTGGATGCCATTAAAGTTTATGTGCGTGTTAAGGCAGGCATCTCAATACTTTTGGCAATACAATGTATATATGTATACATATAAACATTCCCATAGACACACTCCTAAACCTTGTGGACAGCCTTCCCAGAAGAGTTGAAGCTGTTATAACTGCAAGGGTGGGCCAACTCAATATTGAACCATACGGAATAAGACGGGATGCCATTAAAGTTCATGTGCATGTAAAGGTAGGTTTTCCAATACTTTTGGCAATATAACGTATACACACTATATTATACCGTATATATATATATATATATACAGTTGCAAGAAAAAGTATGTGAACCCTTGGGATTATGTGGAGTTTTGCATGAATTGGGCATAAAAATGTGCTCTGAACGTCATCTAAGTCACAGCAATAGAAGAAACAGTCTGCTGAACATAATACTACACAAACATTAGATGTTGCCATGGTTTAATTGCACATGACATGTAAACATTCACAGTGCAGGGAGGAAAAAGTATGTGAACCTTTGGACTTAATAACTGGTTGACCCTCCTTTGGCAGCAATAACCTCAACCAAACGTTTCCTGTAGTTGCAGATCAGACCTGCACAATGATCTGGAGTCATTTTGGACCACTCCTCTTCAGAAAACTGTTTCAGTGTAGCAATATTCTTGGGATGTTTGGTGTGAATCGCTCTCTTAAGGTCATGCCACAGCATTTCAATCGGGTTGAGGTCAGGACTCTGACTCGGCCACTCCAGAAGGCGTATTCTGTGCTGTTGCAGCCATTGTTTTGTTGAATTACTTGTATGCTTTGGGTCATTGTCCTGTTGCATCACCCATCCTCTGCGGAGCTTCAGTTGGCGGGACAGATGGTCGTACGTTTTCCTGCAAAATGTCTTGATAAACTCTGGAATTCATTTTCCCATCAATGACAACAATCCGTCCAGGCCCTGAGGCAGCAAAGCAGCCCCAAACCATGCCCATGCTCCCTCCGCCATGTTTCACAGTGGGGATGAGGTTTTGATGTTGGTGTGCTGTGCCTTTTTTTCTCCACACATAGTGTTGTGTGTGTTCTTCCCAAACAACTCAATCTTGGTTTCATCTGTCCACAGTGCCCATTTTGCCAGTAGTGCTGTGGAACATCCAGGTGCTCTTTTGCAAACTTCAAAACGTGCTGCACTCATCTTCTTTTTGGCCAGCAATGGCTTCCTCCGTGGTGTGCCCTCCCATGTACTCCATTCTTGTTTAATGTTTTCCTTATTGTAGATGTGTCAACAAAAATGTTAGCATGTGCCAGAGATTTCTGTAGGTCTTTAGCTGACACTCTGGGATTCTTCTTTACCTCATGCAGCATTCTGCGCTGTGCTCTTGCAGTCATTTTTACAGGACGACCATGCCTAGGGAGAGTACCAACAGTGCTAAACTTTCTCCATTTGTAAACAGTCTGTCTTACCGTGGACACATGAACATCAAGGCTTTTGGAGATACTTTTGTAACCCTTTCCAGCTTCATGCAAGTCAACAATTCTTGATGGTAGGTCTTCTGAGAGCTCTTTTCTGCGAGGCATGGTTCACATCAGACAGTGCTTCTTGAAACCAGTAAACCCAAAACAGGTTTGTGTTTTTTAAGGGCAGGACAGCTGTCAGCAACACATCCAATATCATCACACTGATTGGAGTCAAGGTTGGCTCACATCCTGGCTCCAATTAGCTCTGGGAGAAGTCATTAAGCTAAGGCCTCACATACTTTTTCCTCCCTGCACTGTGAATGTTTACATGTTATGTGCAATTAAACCATGGCAACATCTAATGTTTGTGTAGAATTATGTTCAGCAGACTGTGTTCTTCTATTGTTGTGACTTAGATGCCAGAGCACATTTTATGCCCAATTCATGCAAAACTCCACGTAATCCCAAGGGGTTCACATACTTTTTCTTGCAACTGTATATATATATATATATATATATATATATATACACACACTTTTTTATAGATAATTTTATAGAATATTTTAATAGAAAATCTATAGTGTATACAGTACAAAATGTCAATTTCATTAAAGTGGTACTAAACGTTAATTTGTTTTTTTAACCAGTTGCCGACCGCAGATAGCCGAATGACGGCTACACTGTAACTGGCCAGGTCTGGGAGGGCGTCATATGACGTCCTCCCAGAACGCGCTCTCCTGCGTGCCCCCCGGCAGTCTTCATGATCGTTGTGTCCTACGGACACAGCTGATCACATGATGTGGTAAAAGGCCAATCACCGCGGGCCTTTTACCACACAAATGATCAGCCGTGTCCATTGCCACACTGATCACAGGGAAATGCAATTGCCGTTCTCGGCTGCACTTTCCTCACGCTGTCAGAGCGTGAGGAAAGTACTGCCGAGAATCGGCAGTTGTCAGAGCAAAGATAGGCATCGATCATCAGGGCAATGATGATCAGTGCCCTGATGATCGTTGCCCAGCAGTGCCACCCACCAGCTCCGCCCACCTGTGCCCAGCAGTGCCACCCACCTGTGCCCAGCAATGCCCACCAGTGCTTATCAGTGCCACCCACCAGTGCTTATCAGTGCCACCCACCTGTGCCACCCACCAGTGCCCAGCAGTGCCACACACCTGTGCCCAGCAGTGCCACCCACCTGTGCCCAGCAGTGCCACCCACCTGTGCCCAGCAGTGCTACCCACCTGTGCCCAGCAGTGCCACCCACCAGTGCCCATCAGTGCAGCCCAGCAGTGCCGCCAGTCATTGCCACCAGTCAGTGCCCATCAATTGTGCCAGTCAGTGTGCCCAACAGTTGTGCCAGTCAAAGCCCAGCAGTGCCGCCTATCAGTGCTGCCTATCAGTGCCACCTATCCATGCCACCTCATTAGTGCTGCCTATCAGTGCCCTTCAATGCTGCTTATCAGTGCCCATTAGTGCCGCCTATCAGTGCCCATCAGTGCCCATCAGTGCCGCCTATCAGTGCACATCACTGCTGCCTCATCAACGCACATCAGTGAAGGAGAAAAATTACCTGTTTGCAAAATTTTATAATAGAAACAAAGAAGCTTTTTTTAAAAAAAATTTTTTTGCACTTTTTTTGTTTATAGCGCAAAAAGTAAAACACCCAGCGACGATTAAATACCAACAAAAATTCTCACCCATGTAATGTGATTTCTGGCAATCTGTTTCGGGGTGTCATTAATTTATCATCGACATCCACATCAAATCGGATGCAAATGCAATGCGGTGCAGGAAACGCACAGGGTTCACAATGCGCATTGGTGTGAACCTGGGCTAACTCTTCAAAAGCATCATTATGGTATATAACCACAAATATGATACTGAGATAATGCAAGGTTTCAGTGATTTTGAGGTTTATATGAAATTTGCTGGAGTTCCTATTCAAGATTTTCTTCTGAGGCTTTAGATTAATCTTTTTTGTTCTATTATTTCACAGAATTTGTGTGATTTCATTTGTTGAATTTCTTTAAAAAAATGTTTTTTAACATGTGGCTGTGCTATGATCCATAACAATTGTTTCAATCCAAGTAGTTGACCTTTGGCTACCCTTCTTTATCAAGCAACCGTGGACGTACACTAGCATAGCAAATGAAGAGTCACTGAGCATTAGCTAATGTACTCTTTCTAAAAGTGCTTTATGTTTGCTTGAAGTCATCTGGTAAAAAAAAAGAAAAATTAATTTCAGTGTTTTTTGCAATGGACATCAATAGGAACCAATATTGTCCAGTCTTGCACAGGCACATTTATGGACTGGTATGAGCATACTTTTAACCACATTACATCTTGATGGCAATAGGTGAAAAGGTGATGTGCACAGTTCCATTTGTAATATTAAGTTAGAAAATGGTGTATTCATGATCTTAAGGCTGAATTCAGCCAAACAGCTAAATACAAAGAAGAAATATATAGACTGGAGCTATTTTACCTGTTGAAGGATTACATTACTTTATTGCAGGCATTATATAGCACTGACAATTTACGTATCGCTTTACATGGTGTACATTCCCATCAGTCCCTGCCCTCAAGGAGCTTACAATGAATACAAGCTTTCCTCTGATTGGCTGAGGTGGAGAGGTGGGAGGTTGACATCACAATCTCCACTTCAGCCAGAGGAAGCTTTACATTCACTCATAAAAAGCTTCCATGGCCAAGCAGCGTTCAGCCCAACTTGAATTTGTTCCAGCATCAGACTGGAAGTCTCCATATCACTGCTGGAACACAACGCTGTATACTGTATGTAGCTGAAGCTACATACATACAGTGCTGACAGGGGCCACATTTCTTAGTAATGGAAATCATTATTTGGGTCTGCTTAAATTGAAATGAAACCAGGATTTAATCTGTAATCGGTATTAAACCCAAAACCAAAAAAGGTCTTATATTGCAGCTTACTGTTACATCTTCCTCTAGCACTGGTGGTCAAGTACTATAACTGGCTTCTGTGTTTTTCACCTATAGCAGCCCTCTTTCCCATAAGGCAAGTAGGCCTACTGGTGTTTGGTTGCCCAAAGATCTTATACACAATGCTATAGTGCCTGGCCACAACGGAGCAGGCATGAACTGAGAAAAGCAAACAGGTACTTGCGGTAGACAGACAGGCAGAGTGGTTCAATGACAGTACAGGTACAAGGCAGGCAAGCTTCAGAATAGTCAGGTTCCAATCCATAATCAAAAGGCAGGCAGAGTTTAGAGAATAGCCCGTTCAAATCCAAGGTCATAATTCAAGGTCATAAACAAGGAAATCCAAACAGCAGAGCAGGGCAGGGCAGACAAACAGGGAGCTTGAAGCACATATAACAAATACTATCACAAGCATAAGACTGCAGGCTTGCCTGGCTTAAATCAGGTTTGATCTCCACCCAAAGACTAGCCACATCAATCACCATGCAGGTGGACAGGTAGACAGGGAGAATGCATCACAGCCCAAACCAGGATGTTAGAATGAGACCAGTAGCTGTCATGGAACAGGAACGTATACATGCTCTTGACACTTACCAATCATTAGATGTGGTGGCTGCATTGGTTTTCTTTTGTTTGGCTTTTTACTTTCTGTTTTCATCTTGTGATCTGGCCAGTAACACACCTTCCTTATTACTGAGAAACCACTCTAGATGAATGAGCATAGGAGGCACAGAAGCCAGCAGCATTGTCAGTCTCAGAGGAGTGTTAGATGTATTAGCAGATTTAAAAACACTAAACAAACTGAAGCCAAACTCCAGCTAATGCTTTATAATCAGTTACGGCAACATTTTGTTTTTCATTTTGGGATGAAAATTTAGCATTAATAAAAAAGATGGCCATTGTAAGCACCCCTGCACCCCTGATATCTGCAAGGGAGCTTGTTCTTTTGAAAAACTACAGACCAGGGGCGGACTGACCATTTGAGCACTCGGGCACTGCCCGAGGGCCCAGGGTCAGTAGAGGGCCCCATGAAATGCCCCTGGTACCTTTTATAGGCTTTTTTGGGTGTACTTTGTGTGTGTGGGCAAGGACACAGGGGCCCCATGATCCCCTATTGCCTGGGGGCCCCATGAGTTGTCAGTCCGCCCCTGCTACAGACTTACTGGGCAGATCACCAGGCTAATACAGACATCACAGCTAAGAATTGGTAAGCTGCAATATAATAAATGTTTGATTTTGGGTTTAATACTGCTTTAAAAAGGAACTAAAATCCACAAATACAGTACTTACTGATCATCTTACCTCCTTGAGATCCCTCCCCAGCACCGAAATTTTTTCTCTAGCGCCTTCTGGGTCCTGGGTCTATCGCTGTCTTGATTGGCGGTTGCAGCATGACATAACTCCCATGCATGTGCATGTCATTCATGCCAGCTCCAAGGCACCGTGCTGAGAATGTATCCTGAGCTGCACATGTGCAGTTTAGTGAAAATTCTAAAGAAGAAAGCAAACAGAAAGGTAAGCTTGGTTCACTGCAGAAGAGACATAGCGGGGTTTATTTACTAAAGCTGGAGAGTCCAAAATCAGACTCACTTCTGCATAGAAACCAATCAGCTTCCAGGTTTCATTGCCAAAGCTTCATTGAACAAGCTGAGGTTAGAAGTTGATTGGTTTCTATGCAGAAGGGAGTCTGATTTTGGACTCTCCAGCTTTAGTAAATAAACCCCAGCATGTCTCCTCTGAAATAAACAGCCTGCCTGCTTTCATTTTTTTTCTACTTTCATTTTATTTATGTTGGGATGCATTAATGTACTCAACCTGGCTCACAATAAAAGTACATTAAAAAAGACTGTAAATGCATATTACTAGATCACTGGAATGGCTTTTAGGAAACAGAAAGTCACGTGTTTGCAAGGGCCTTATCCTGCCATTCACAGAGCTCAAATTTATATAGAAAACAGTGTAAAACTTTTTTGAAGAAAGGAATATAGACAAGGTATGAGAGCTATAAAATTAGCCTTTGGCTGGCATTATGGACTTTCCTTTACATTGAGAAGAAGACCCTACCTATTTCAGATCCTAATAATGGTCTGTACACAGAGTTTAATGAATTTCAGTTAATGCCACACTACATTGTAAGAAACACTAAGCTAGACAAACATGTTTTCAAGTTCTAGAGAAAATGCCTATAACACCAGGAGGGGGAGGGGGACAGTCATACTGCTAAGAAAAGGAAGACCAGTACTGGATAGGCAGATTGTAGTCACTACATATGGAAAATCAAATAAGGATTCTAATACTGATTTGTTTTTGTCAATGCTGATGTATTCTTTTTTACTATACTGCAATGTTTGTTCTTTTTGTTTTTTGAAAATAAAGAAATATTATAGAAGACGATTGGAGTGTTTTGAGAATGCTTTTTCTATAAAAAAAAAAAGTTTTAGATTCATCTGATTTTCATAATTTTATTGAATTGAATTGTTATTTTTGAATGTGTTGATTACACATTTTATACAATATTGTACTGTATATACACTCTACAGCAGGGGCATTGAATTAAAATTCAAGGAGGTCCGGTCACTAAAATCTTCTTCTGGCCAAGGTCCGAAAATAAATGTCCCCATTAGTGTTCACCCTTACATCAGGTTTCCCCTCCAGAGTAATTTATTACATTGGGTGCCACCATCAGACTTCCACCTAAATCACCATCAGACTTCCACTTAAATCAGTTGCCATCGTCAGAGTACCCCGCTATATCAGGCTTTCACATCAGAGCACCCCTTTAAGTAATGTGTTCCCATCAGAGTGCCCCCATACATCAGGCATTTCCATCAGCGTGCCCCCTTACATTAGGTTTCTTCATCAGAAGACCCCCTTACATTTTATGTGCCTACCATCAGTATGCCCCCTTACATAAGTTGTCCCCATTAGAGTGCCAGATTATATAAGGTCCCCCCATTACGGTGACACCTTACATAGGCTGTGCCCATCAGCGTGCCCCCTTACATTAGGTGTCACCATAAGAGTGCAACTTTATGTCATGTATCCCCATCACATCAGGTGTACTCATCAGAGTGCTCTTTTACATCAGTTGTCCACATCAGTGTGCCCCTTTACATCAGCTATCCCCATCACATTGCCACCTTACATCAGGTATTCCCGTCAGAGTGCCCCCTTACACTCAAAGTACCCCTTTCTATCATATTTCCCCAATAGAGTGCCCCTTTACATCATATTCCCCATCAGGGTGTCCCTTCCCATCACGTGTCCATCAGAGTTCCCCTTTCCACAGTATGTGCCCCCTTAACATAACATGTGCCCATCAGAGTGCCCCCTTAACATAAAATGTGCCCATCAGAGTGCCCCTTAACATAAAATGTGCCCATCAGAGTGCCTCTTAACATAAAATAAGGGGTATGCTGATGGACTCATTTTATGCTAAGGGGCACTCTGATGGGCATATTTATATTAAGGGGCACTCTGATGGGCACATTTTATGCTAATAGCACAACATAGAATGTGCCCATCAGAGTGCTCCTTAATATTAAATGCGCCCATCAGAGTGCCCCTTAATATAAATATGCCCATCAAGGTCCCCCAGAAAGAACACACCCTACCTTGACAGCAGACAAGAGCGGGAGGTAGGACCTTGCCGGGATCCTTGCTGAAGGGGGCGGGGTGAGCGCT